AGCGCCTGGTAAATAAGGATTGCTCAGTATCGCTAAGAATCTGGCAGAATTTCAGAATCAGGATTAAAAGTTTGCAGAAAACTTAGTTAGAATAAAATGTTCCAGCTTAATAGTGCTTAAGACTCGTGTTCTTTATGTACATAAAAGTACAGTGTAGACTTGGCCAACACAACCTTCTCTTTTCAAGCCTGCTGTAGCAAAYKGAGCCTGTCTGGGRGATACCTCTTTTGTRTTTAGATTTATTAATTTAATTGATWAACAGAATCTGTGATCCACTGGCACTTATTTGCAGCTTATTTAGCAAATGAATCCAGTTACCAAGGAGAAAAGGAGCTTCAGTCACTATTGGCTCTTCTGGACTCAAATCTGTAAACTTAGCTAGGACTTGTAACTTCTTGGATGCATCAGCTGTTCTGCTTGTTGCTAATTCAGTCTAAGGTTCTGTGGCTAGAGTGGCAAATGCAGTTCTGAGACTTATGGAGCAGATGCATTTGTCTGTCTGACAGATACTAGTAAACCTTTGCACTGCCACAGTGATAAAAATATTCTGTATTTTTAAAATTGTTTTGTTAATTGCTAATTGCTATTGCTTTCTTCAGGGTGAGATGATGTTYTTGTAGATAAGTGATTATTGCTCAGCTTTCTGTCCAAGTTTGGGGAAACTGGAATTTATCTTGGCTCTGAAAGCAGGAGCCGAGACAGCAACTGAGCAGACATTGCCTCTTCAGCTGCAATCCAGGAGTAGGGATGATACTGGGACAGGGACTTTGGTATGGTATGAGAGCTAGCTCTATGCCTGCCCATACAGCTGTTTCACATCTGAGAAAACAGTAGAGCTAAGCCACATGTATAAATGTGCATGTGGGTGCTGCAAAGCCAGCCTTGATGTGTGCGTGCTGTCTGTTGAGCCAGAAATAATCTTTGGCATATATATGGGCATTTGAGTCTAAGCATATGAAACATGTCCTCTGCCTCCTTCATCCTGCCCTGCAGGCTTCTCTGAACACCCTTTTTCTGGGGATTTGAAGATTTTCCCTTGCAGGATGCCTGATAATCTACAATACAGAGAGAAATTTCCACCCCACTGTGTCTGGTCCCATATAGGAGAACAGTAATTTCAAGTCTAATTCCTAGACATAGGCCTGAACAGGTCTCTGAGTGTGAAAAATTCTTTTTGCATACCCCAGAATGTAACTGCAAATAACTTAATAACAAGGCAGCCTTAAGTTCTTAAAAAAACTTATATATTCCTGCTTTACTATTCAGATTTTCTCTCGATCCCACCACCTAATAACACTCTCTATTTAGATATTGTTGTGTCACTGAATGGGAAGGACTTTCTACTCAAGAAATGGTCTCTGCAGCACCTTGCAGACTGCAGCTTGCCTGCTAAACCTGGCAGGATGGTTTTTCTCCCTGTCCCTTTTGAATGACAACTCTTGGCYCATGTACTATGTAGCCCTGGACTCCCAAGCCTTTGTGCAGGACACCCCTTTGTAGGTGCCTTCTCAGTGTTCTGTTTGATTCCAGCAGTGCAGTTGTCCTAGAGCCTTCAAATATATTTCTCCTGTCTTGGATCTGCTGTMTTGGAAAGATGAATTTTACTGATTTCTTGTTCACATTCTTCTCCCTCCTCCCATCCTGTCGCATGCAAGCTCATGAGATTTAGCTAAAAAATGTTTCATCTCAGATGCCACCTATTGCTATCCCATTGGAAAACTTGACTGTAGMAGAGGCCTTATATCAAAAGCCTGTGTGACAGTTTCTGATCTTTGAGCAGCTTTAGGGGCTGTCAAAAAGAAAAACATTCGTACCTAGTTAAACTAAGTTGTTTGGTATGGATTGAGGTATTTGTCAAGTAGAGCCATGCAAAAGATTAAAGCARTGTCTGTCAGTGAAACTACTGTATTTTGGCTTACGTAATTCTACAGGGTTTTTTCCTGTGTTTTGCTTTTCAAGGAARCTGTAGGTGCCTTCAGCATTATATCTAAAAAGGGAATTATATATTGCAGATAGTATTTCATTCTATATTTAACAGCTCTTCTTTGAACAACAAAAACTGTAAACTCATTGCTGGGACTTGAACTGAAGTCACAGTGGTTCCTAGTTGTTAATGATATTTTACAGTGACAGCCCTGTTCTGCTTGCAGTGTTAATAAAAACAGTATTTTCACTCAGTGCCTGGGTTTCCACAAAAGTTTACTGATATTGGACTGTAGTACTGCCCATCCTGCATTGCTATGGTGTGTGCATACGAGAGGTGTGAGGAAAAAGTGACAACAGGACTGCTGCTTCAATGATAAACCCATGAAAACAGTGAATATATTGTGCAGGGCTTCCCTGGCCAGTGGAGCTGCCAGCAGAGAAGGACAAACTTGCTGTGTCTTACACAGCAGAGATGAGCAAGAAAAAGGCATGGCTAAGTCTTGACAGACTAACAAAAAATCCCTCCAAACACCTTTATTCTTTAAAAAGTGGAAATCCCCATTTGTTTTAAATTATGGGAGATATGGGATCATTCATGTTYTAATGAAGCTTTTCTGGGAAGAAAAAAAAATCATTTGTTTTCAGAAGATACTAGTATTTTATATGGTTAAGTATGAGTGTTTTCACTGGTTTAATCATTACCAGGAATCTGTGTAGGCATTGGTATGGCAGGCCAGCAAAATAAACTGCACTCCCTCCCTCAATGTTTTYTAACACCTTTGATTGCAGGTTATACAGACAAATATGCTTTCTGTAGCCTATAGGATTCCTAAAACTGATGCTGTAGGACACCTCTGCAGGATTCCTAATGAAAGGAGAATATAAATTTGTCCATCATTGACAACGATAATTCCCTTTGGATGATTGCTAAACCTTCCTTGCTTATGGGTAACTCCTGTCTAGATTCTAATGATGCTCCAGAATGCTTTAACTCTAAAAACCACCAGGTTGTACCAAATTCTGAGTGGATTCAAAGTGTTTCATAAGGAAACCACATTCTTCCCAGCTACCAAGCTCACACTCCTAAATCAGCCTGTAAGATTCCTGGGGAGCAAATCTGGTTTGGGCTAGTGAATATTCAGTGATGAGATTTAGAGATTCTGTTCCAATCCCAGTAGTATAMAGTAAGGTCAGAGGAGATAAAACTGAGACCTTTGTGCTCATCCTGCCTRGTCAGTACCATTTTGACAGTTAAATTTCTGCAGAGAAATTTTCAGGCGTTTTATCAAGTGCAATATATATCCAAATCTAGCCTTCCCCTATGTTTTATCAGGTGGAGAAAACCCATGCTYCTCTGGTATCTAAAATAATCTGGGCTGAAACAGAAAAGGTTTAGCTTCAACTGCTAAACTACCTACAGATTGAGAACTGATCCAAACAGCATCACTTACAACCACTTGGCTCTGACACTTCTGCTAGCCAGAGTATTTTCTTTCTTATAATGCACTAGGCTGACACCTCTTTTGAAGTACTCCAGTGCATCCCCCTGTGCTGACCAGGTTTTTGGAGATGTTTTGCCCTCAAGATCCTTAAACATCAGAGATTTTCAATGGCAAATGAGTGATGATTAGGCATTATCCCTACAGGATAAAGACAYTGAGGCCACAGGGATATCCAGGCTAAAAGACTTCTGTTCTTGATAGTGATGGATGGGATTTTGCAGCAAGGATGGGTTATCCYAGGGTAATACAGCCAGAGGGGTCRTCACACCAACAGTTGCTTTTTCTTTCTAATGGGAGAGGAAGCAAAGATGAACAATTGTGGGGTGTGAGAGTAACATTCCTGTTTTACAATGGTGGTTTGAATAGGTGAAAAAGCAGCATTTCTCCTCAAGCTTATTTTGGAGCTGTTATGTGATTATAGACGGATGAGGAGCTGGGGAAACTTGAAATAGGTGAACGGGCGAAGAAAGTGCCCAAATGGCAAACATCTGTCTTTGTCTATCTCTGCCTGTCTGTGCTTGAAATCTAGATAGCTGAGCTCGGGGAAGAACATTTAACTCAGCAGCTAACAAAGTACAAACAAGTATTCCTCACAGCACTCCTTTTGAGACAATTACTATCCCAAATCACAAATATTGAAGCTACAGTAGAGAAAATAATTTAGCGAGCAGAATCGATGTCTGAGCTGGGACCAGAATCTTGGCTCTCCAAACTCCTTTTTGGCTCTCTAGTCACCAAGGACTGTAAAGAATAAAATATGAAGGCATACCTGCAACAACATGCAGTTTCGCTGATCGTTTCCAAAGCAATCGTGCCCCACAGCTCCCGAACGTAAAAAAMCCCTAACCCCTCTACTTAACCCCAAAACAAAGAATAATTTTTTTGTCCATATAACCACAGCAGCCTTCACCTTCGCCCCCCGAGTACCTGCCCAGCTGACAGCCGAGCGTCGCGCCGTGCCCCCGCGGCTGCTAATCAGAGGGGAGACATGGCAGCGGAGCAGCCCGGGGATGCACAGCGATACGACTGCGAAGCGCACAAGGGTAGGGAATAAAAAAATTTCCTTCCYGGCCCCCGCGGGGCGTCTGTGCCCGCACCTGTGCCGGCTGGCCCCGCCCGGAGCGGCCGGACCCCCGCCCCGCCCGGAGCGGCCGCGCCCCGCAGAGGGGCTGCCCCGGCGGCGGGGGGCGCCACAGCCTCCCCGGCCGGCGCCCGGCCTGGCTCAGGAAGTGCCGGCAGGGAAGCGGCGGGGGCGGCCGCCGGGGGCCGGGCCGGGCTGTCAGCGCGGCGAGGGGCAGCGGCCGCGGCGGGGGGAGCGGAGCGGAGCGGAGCGGAGCAGGTCGGAACAATAGCGGGTGGAGAGGAGGGGGCCGGCGGCAGCGAGGCTCTGCACCGGCACCCCGCCCCGGCCGCACCGCCCAGCGCAGCCCGGGGGCAGCGCAGCCCAGCCCCGGGGCAGCCGCCCCGCAGGCACCGCGGAAGGGATGATCCGAGCGGCGCTCGGTTGGGCTCGCAGCTGAACGCGCCTCCATCCCTCCCTCCCTCCTCTTCTCCCTCCCTCTTTTTCTCTCTCTCTCTCTCGGCTCTCCTCCTCCCTAACTCACTGGATATTACCAGCTGCCGGGCTCGCCGCCGCCTCTCCCCCAGCCATGAATCCCGCCGAAGGGGCGGCGGAGGAAGGCGCTGTCCCTGACTCCGAGGTGGATGCTTTCTTCCGAACAGGTAGGGGAGCCGCGGGGAAGGGGCCAGGGCAGCGCCGGGCCCTACCTCCGCCGCGGGATGCGGGGCTGGCGGCTKCGGCGCGGGCACCGCCAGCAGCGGAGCCGCGGGGAGGGGAGAAGAGGGGATGGAGGGGGTCCCCGCCTGCCTCTTTGCTTTGTCCGCCGCAGCCCCTCTGTACGTCCGTGCCCCTGTCGCCCCTCCCGCCCCCGGGAGGATGCTACCGCGGGGCTGCGCTCCCACCGCCTCAGGAGAGGACCGGCCAGGCCCCCGCCCCAAGCAGGCACAAAAGCCCCGCGGGGATGCTCGGGGAGAGCTGCCGCGTTGTCACCCTCGCGGGAAGCAGCGCCGGCTGGGTCCCCCCGGGCCCCCGCCCCGGGCGGCGGCGGCGGCCACCCGGGTACCGGCTGGTATTTGGAAGCGGAGCTGGCTGCCTGCCCCGCCTGCCCCGGTCCAGCCGGGCGAAGCGCCGGGCGCTACTTCTGCCGCCCTCGGGTGGGCAGTGAGTGAGTGCCGAGGCGCCCTGGGCAGCGCTCGCCCGCAGCCCGCCGCGGGTGCTGACCTCGCCGAGACGGGCTCGCTAAGTAGCTCAGGGCTGGGTGAGAGCCCTGTTTCACTCTCCCGATTCAGAGGATGCTGAAGTGCGGCCAAAGTGTAGCTGGACTACAGCAGAGCATAGGGGGCCTTTGCTGATGAAGCAGTGGTTAATTAAATTCTGTGGGCAATAGGTACGTGCTGGGGTCTCCACTGCATCACCCATTTGTGAGGTGGTGTTTGTGTGGGAGCCCCCACAGCTCTGAAACATGGCTTTGCATAGGGTGATCATCTTAACTGAAGCAACTTGTGGTCTGCATGACACACCTCCCTCCCTCCTCCCTTCCCCCGTCAAAATCTTAAGAAAGTTTTATAATCTTCTTGGTAGATTTTTAATTAAAAATTGTAAAGGATTAAGTAGTTGTTTCATAAGGGRATTGACCCTTTTGGGCTAGGACTGACACTTACTGCCACAGCTGTTTGTCAAGACCCTGCTTTTCAGCTGTTTTTCTTTTTCTACCTGCTCATTAGCTACACACAATGCTTTGAGCTCCAGTTACAAAAAAGCGATTATGTAATCATCAAAACTTTAAAGAAGTAAAATCCTGAAGGCTTGCAGCAGCTCCCTGCTATGGTAGACTGCACCCCATTTATGTGAAAACCCTTTGATCTAGAGGATAAGTATAATAAGGTCTGGCTGTGTGTATCTTATGATCCACAAGTCATTAAGCCATAGAATATTGGCCTGTTGATAACATACCTGCTTACAAGATAATTTCCTAAGTCTCAATAATGACAGWTTTGTTAGAAAAAAATAAAAGCAAAATAACCCACCAATTTTCCTTTTAAAAGGAACGTGTTAATTAAGGCTYCCCCCTACCTTTTCACTCTCTCCCCTCCTTCACCCAAAGCTGAATCATTTCTCTGTGGCACTGCTTTCTCAACATAAGCATGTTAGCAGAATTGAATTTGGAGAGAGTCAAATCTGTCTAGTTCATATAAAAAGGTATTCCTAAACAAGGGAAAAGCACAGGGAGCCATGTGGCTAGGCATTTCTCCAAAGCTGCCTCTTTCACCTGAAATTTCACCTGTAGATTCTTGAATACACTTGTAACCTGCATTATACATTCAGCTCAGAGATTTCATAGACTCTCCTAACACTTCTGCTTCTAGAGGAAATAAAATTACAGGAACCTGGACTTGGAAGAGGTGCCTAGGTCCTGTCCTTGCACTGAAGCATGTATGCATAGGCCATCCCTGATGGTTGTCCGCTTTACCTTGAGCTTCATCACAGAAGATGGCAAAATTCATGTTTCTGCACCATTATGTAGCATCTTGTTTCCAAAAAGATGATGTGAAAAAAAAACCTCCTAACTATAAGTAATTATTTTTGGCTGTCTGCTATTAGAGTGGCCTGGCAACATCCCTGAGGAGAGGGGAAAAGGTATGAGTTGTGTGGTATGACAGTATTGGTTCTCTGTGGTGTTTGGGGCCCGTTTTCTTCTGGGGTTTGTGTGCTGCTGCTGTGCCTGTGTGAAGTTGGGTTTAATGGATGRCAGAGAGAACAGCTGATGTGGGGCTTGAGAGAACAATTGTAGCCAGGGCACAACTGACTCCCACACCTCTCAGGCTGACAATAGTAATCCTGGCTGAGTAAGGACTGTGAGATGAGGTCTGATTTGTAAAAGCTACCGAGACCTGCATTGACTTAGCATTCTTTTTCCCTTGATATACGATTTTTTCCATTTATACCATGTCCTGACTCGTATTCTGGATTTGTAAAGCATAACTATTGTCTTACATACATCAACTGAAAAATGAATCTATATTTTGAAAGATTTGAAGGTTTGAAAAGATTAGCTGCTCTAATAACACAAGTGTATACTAAACAGGCTAAACTCTTCCCAAATTCACAGTTATCACATAGAAAAGCATGAATTCATCATTCTCMGTTTAAAAAACGGACTCAAAACAACTAAACCTCTGTCAGAGGCTTTTAGCAAYCAGCCGGGCTTTGCACTGAGCCGGGAGGATCGATAGGCTGCTCCCTGGTACCGGCAGAGGAGGCTCATGCTGGGAGTGGCGCCGCTCACCGAGCAGCTCCCCAGCAGCGCCCAAACACTCCAGGTACCAGTCCCTTAGCAGCGGGGACACCTGAGAGAGCAGCTTTCTGAGCTGTACCTGCAAAGTCCAGCTGGAGAAATTAACACGAAGTGATAATGGTGCTTATGTTTACGAGAACTAGGAATGACTTTTAAGAAAAGGGTGGATTTAAAAACTCTKTAGTTGATGCTGGCAGTCAGTTAAAACCTCCCAGACTGGAAAGGGACTATTCTAATTTTCTCCATCTTATACATGCAGTAAGAAATTCAGGAATTCTCTTTTAGAGAATCAATCCCATGTAATTGGGATAAAAATTAATAATTAGAGGGACATGAAGGGCAGAAATTACTGTTGCAGTCTCCATCTCTGATTTGTAGGATAACACCATCTGCTGAATTGTAGCAGCAATTTCTGCATGATGTCTATCGCTTCTGTTTGAGCTTATGTTTAAGTCAAAAACCGAATCTATCCCTAGGTATGCCTTACCAAGTTTCTTATGTCTTTTTTTTTGACTGGTAAAATACGACCAAGTTCTCTGGAACGTTAATAGTCTGTGTTAAATGTGTACTGAAACTTTTCTGTAGTGAGGAATGGAATCCAAATACTTAGTTTCAATCATAAAGTATGTCACTTTGCAAAGTGTACAAATAAGAGATAYCCCTCCAACACAGACACAGGAGAAAGTTTTAGCTTCTTGGTTAAGCTGCAGTAATTTCTGCAGTCTGTTTTGGAAACGGGTAAAACACATAAGGAAAACCTTTACCAAAAAATTTAATATTTATAGAGGTYRGTGACAGAACAATTTAGYAAACTACCAATTACTAGCAGAAGTAGTCATCAATATTTCTTRTGCACTAGCAGGTACAGTTTTATTTTCTAATTTATTTTTTCTGGCACTTAACATTGATTGTGGCTAATATGAAGATCCTGACTTTGTCATTGAYACTTCTTGTGAGTGAGTTGAAAATTGACATAGTTCCATCTCCTTTGSATGCAATGAATTATTCTGTTTGCTCTCTGCTTTTCAGCCAGCTGTACTTCTAGTGTTGTTCATTTGCGCACGAGTGACTGGCAGTTCTGCTCTTAAATAACTTTAAATGATTGGCATTGGCCAGGCTGTTTGATCAAAAGATGTGCTTGAAATGATGTCAGCAGAGAAGTGCTCCTTGAGGCTGATGGACTCAAGTGTCTCCTCGTAGAGCAAGTGAATTGATTCAATTGAGTTGTCACTAGGGGTGAGATGTTGGTGTGATGCCTGGCTTCCTTAACTTGAGACTTTATAATTCATGAAGCCTGATCTGGTAATGTGTGCTRACAGAGGAGGCTCTGCTGCAGAAAAGACTGTCAGGTCTGTCCTACCACTTGGAAAACTCCTGTGTTCTTTGGGGTGATGCTTTTAATCAAAATCGGTACTGCTCTCTGGAGGCTTTGACCTCTGACCCTGTCAGGAATGTGAGTTTTGTTATTTTCTTTCTTTATTGTCTGATGTAGGTGTTCTTTATTTTTCCATGTGATTGGCTTGGGGGAGGAGGACAGTTGTTTCACTACAGGTGGGAACCAGGTACCCCCAAGCCTCTCCAGTGCATGGGGAAGGCTGTGGCTCTGCCCTGTGGTTGTCCAATCTCCTCCACCTCAGGACTCTCTGAGGCAGATCTGCTAGTTCAGGAATTTTCATGTAGATATGGGAAAGGACATAAAGGTGAATCAAGAGGTCTTGGTGGCAATGACTGCCCTTTTCCCCCTCTTGCCATGCAGTTGCTGATGAGAAATGGAGCAGGAACTGCTGGATTGAGGGGTCTTGTGACAAAAAAGAAGGATTTTTTTTTTGTCTAGTGCTGGAAGGGAGCAATTTAAATGAGTGATTTATGTTCAGAAGAACATTTCTTCCCATACTGTTTCCTTCCTTCTCACTCATAAGTATGTATAGGGCAACAGGGATGCTATCTGACAGTTACGTGTTTATTCTGGATGAGATTGCATTGTGTAGGCCAGTAGAAAGATACTTAGTCTATTTGATATTCATTCAATTAATGTTGAACATAATTACTTCCAGAGGAAGAGACCTTTCACACCTGTCTACTGTTCAGAGCTCATCTGTACTGAAGTTCACAATCCTTGATTTCCACGACAAGGAGGAATAGGGAACATAAGCTTGGAGCACAGGCACTGTAATGAGGCTTGATACGGCACCTACAGAAGTTGTAGGGGGGAACCTGTTGCCTACACTGTGTTTTTGGGTTGAGGCTCTGAAAGACGAAAAGAATCCTGAAGTCATCACAAAAGAGGAACTCTTGTGGTGTTTGTGTAGTCCATTTYACTTGTGGAATGAGATGGCTGTGTCTGTCTTGGAATGATGAGTGGTATGG